CTCTCTCTCTCTCTCTCTCTCTCTCTCTCTCTCTCTCTCTCTCTCTCTCTCTCTCTCGCTCTTTCTCTCTCTGTCTCTGATCAAATGAATGGACAAAAAAAAGAAAAAGTATCAGAACAGTTCAATTCAATTGGTACTTCGACAAATATATCCGCGATGAATCTCTTGAGTAATTTCTTTAAATTAATCTGTGTGAGCTCTCTACGAAGAAATTAAATACTATTGTATTATTTTTATTGAAACAGATTAAAATCAATTATTGACAAATGTACATACATGGAGAAAATGTAGTAAAAATTACGTTAAAATTATACTTCTTTCTGCAATCTTTTAGTAAAGCTGAACTCTACTGTATAGTACAAATTACTATAGAAATAGTAAATGTGACGATCTATAAAAAGTCAAACGTACATAAACATTTTTAAATAAATAAGAACAAATGTGCGCACCATGTTTAAACAAATATATAGTAATTTTTGTTATAATTAATGTAAGATCTAAAGTCCAAAAAATGTGTGTGTGTGCAATATTCTAATTTTTACTATATTTTCTTCATGTAAAAATACAAGATTCACTAATCTTTCTACAAAATCGCGTTCAGAGTGATATTTTATTGCACTTGTATCATTCAAAAGAAAGAAAGAAGAATGTACGTGTAGTACGTGTAGTAGAAATAATATCTGTGTCGTTTTTATTTCAATGAATTAAATAATGGAACTCAGTTACTTTCATTAAATTTGCACAAATAAAGAACGCGTGCATTTCGCTCTTGTTATATACGTGCAATTAAATTTAACAATTAATTTAATAATATGATTATACAAGGAGAATTTTATGATTCTTCAATAGTCTAAAAAGACGCCAGTGAAAACCTCTGCATTACGTAATAACACACTACTATGTCGATTTCCATTGATTATTTCAAAGCTTAACTAAAGTTGGAATAACCAAAGCCACGGTAAAGAAATGCAATTTATGATGCATATATTCGTTGGCTTATTTCATCAGTTGCCTGTTGACCATATATTTAGCTTGTTATTTGCAATCAATTACGTTTTACTCATGCACCAATGCCAGCCAGAGTTCTTTCAGTTCTTTTCTATTCCTTAATTGTAATATTATTCCAATCTTAATGACAAGGTAAAGTATTTATGTTCTGAAAGGACCATTCGCGATTTTGTATTCACTATTCCTCTAAAATAAATACTGAAGAAAAGTACACGAGCAACATATCCCTGGTTATAAGCCATATAGCCCGATACCCCGATTTCCTGTAGCCCTATTACGAATCATATCGCCTCTCACTTCTGACTTCGTGCGAATTTTCCCGAAATCGGTTGTGGCGTCGGGAAATTGGCGCGAAAATCGGCGTCATGCGCCTCTCGTTGCACCTCTCGTCGGGGAAAATTGCGCGGTCGACCTTAGCGGTTCGGCGCGATGTGTTCGTGACATGTGCCGGAACATATTTACGAACAATTTCGCCCACGTTTGATAAATGCCCGTTTGACATTGAGGCTGCAGGCAGTCGGTCGTTCGGTCGGTCGGTCGGTCGGTAGGCCAGTCAGCCAGCCAGCCAGCCAGCCGTCTTAATGGCGCGGTAAATCACGCGTCAATACGTTGGCCATTGCGCCGCGCTTATGCCTTACCGTTAAAGATAGCAGCAAAAAGGGAAGGACGAGAGGATGCATCTTGACGGATTTTCGCTCTCGGCCTCACTGTCGACGCATCTCGCTGCAGCTTCCGGTGAGAGCGCACACTAGTCTCCCTAGTCGCCTCTCGTTTCAGCTCCACGTCATTTTTCACCGCGTTAAACCGCCGCGGCTAATTGCAATCAGCTTGCTCCGTCGATTAGATGTTTCCTCGATCAGCAGTCAATGTTGAGTTGCAAATGAGTCGTTTCTTCATTGGTCTCTACAAACTTCTGCTCAAGCATAGAAAAATATCTTCGTAAAGTATAAAATTAACATCAGACCCTTCTATTGTTACGGGTTATTATAGATATTATTATGGTTATTTAGTTATGTTATAAATGTATAACAATTTAAAAATCTGGATTATTTAATTATCCATTTTTATGAAAACTATGTGAGTTATTCTTGTTTTCATTGAAAGTGTTTTGTGTATAACTATAATAAATAGTTTTCTGTAATTGAATGAAATTCTTACTTCATGATAATATTGTAATTATTGATTAGATATGAAAGTCATTCCATCTTAACATTTATTGTATATAGAAAGAATATTGTATTATATATTATAGTTTTATATATATAAACTCTTTTCAATTTTTTGCTACACTAAAAGAAAAAATATCTAAAAAATAATAGATAGTTATTCGATGAGTACTAACAACATTCATATTTACTTATACTAATACAAAATATTTTTCTAATAAGAAGATATGTATTATTTCTTAGCTTTTCATGAAAGCAATTGCTTATTCTGTTTAAATATAAATTTAAATTTAAATAAATATGTTATTAATTCCCACCAAAGAAATATTTTTTAGATACTTTTTCTCTCAGTGCAACACAGTTCCTAAAATAAAAGTAGGACATATGAAATAAAAAGATAGTCAATTATTCGGTATCCCTCGATTACAAAAGTTTCTACAATAATTTTTACCATTCTCTCCGTGTATAAGACGGAAAGACGAGTATATATTAATAGTTTTGCAACAAACAAACCGCCGCAACAGTACCAGCATTTTCGTATTTTTCGCGCAATCACCATGGAATACACGATATTATCGAGTAGTGTTCAGACTATTCACATGATATTTCACGAACGATAAGAACATTACTATAGCATTCCATAGATAAAGCATTGCAAACACGAACGACGCGCGCGAATCGCGCGAGGAATGCAATTACATCACCGTCCCCGTCGTTTCTCGACGAGCCGCGATTTTGCCAGAGTTTGATCGAGCCCTCATACAAACTTGAACACTTTACATAAATATTGCCGTCCGACGCGCGCAAAATGTCTATCAAATCTGACGAGTTTATCACCTGCGGCGCGGCCCTAGGCTTCAGTTGAGCGCACTTTTTCCACACTGTCTTCGCGCAATATTCTGTTCGTGAAAATCATATTGAAGGAGAAATCCGCTTGGACGATTTAATCGGAAAGAAACCGAAATGTGTACAAGCTGTAAACTTGTCCGACACAAATCCATGCACAAAGCAAGAAAGAAAAGAATACACGCGTCTAGTCGTGAGTGTCAACGTCCTCCTCCATCGTCTCCGCAAATCCCAAGCGAACTGTCTCACTATTTTTAAATCTTGCCCCGTATTTTCTTCTCAATCGTCTCTGCAGCCTGCATCATTGTGACTCAAATGCCAAGATTTACTAAGAAGAGGCTGTCGCAATTTATGATTGAAATTTATAATTGCGGAATATAATAAAATTACACATAACAGAAAACTATTGCACAATCAAATATTATGATAGAAATTCATAATCGCAAGATATGTATTCAAGATTCATAATCATTGATACACACCCACAAGTATAAATTCACGCACGAGCCAAAATTTTTGCAGGACAAGAAATTTGTTCCACAGAGACTGACAACAGCGTCGAATATTTACACGAGGGGAAAATTGTAGCAAAAATTACGTTAATTTTATATTTCTTTTTATATTTTCTTTTTAAAGCTGAACGATATTGAAGTTCTAGTGTAAATTATTATAGAAATAATAAATTTGACGATCTACCTGCTGCTTGATATAAAAAACATTCAAGCAATTACAATAATTTTATAGTAAATGTCAAACATACATAACATTCTTAACCAAATATGCAGTAATTAACAAAATTACAAAACTTTGTTGTAATATTTCCTCCGTTTACAGAACCATGAAGATAAAATAATGTAATAAGTGTCTGTCTTTGAATGTAATCGTTCTTCAAATATCACACGCGATTATCGATCGCTCAAGAACACGATTAGAGACGTGCTCAGTTGCGCGAAAATGCAAATATCGCGAGTGTCCCGGTAAAAGTGACATATTATGATAATTCGGCATTAAAGTTTCACTTGCCATTTATTCAATTAATATTCCACCACCACTCAATTATCGTTATTACCCGTTTGAACTTAAACGATGTTTGACATTCAGATGAAATGTTATGGCGTGACGCTAGAGAGGCTATCCGAGGCGAAGGAAATTGGATATTAGAGAAGTCATCGGCTGGCGCGCGTGTGAGCGCACATGCACGTATAATGCTTTCATGCTCCAGTTGCTAGTGAGCGTTAGACAAGAACCTATATTACCCGTACGTCGACCTGTCGAAGGTGGAGTAGCCCGGAGCTAGAATTATCAGCAAATTACGCGCAGATTTCCACGTTTGTTGCATTTCATTATTCATATTTATGATCCGAAATGAGAAATTTAGAATCAAAATCTGAAATTGCGATGGCAAAATTTTGAAGTAGGGTCTGGATTGTTTATCAAACAAAATTACGTTTCTACACATTTCACTCTCTAAGTAGTAAATGTTAGTTTGAGGCGAAGTTGAGATGAATATATATACACAACATAATTACAAATAATTATCTTTCATTTTTCTAATTATCTTTCAATAATTATCTTTCAAATATTATCTTTCATTTTTCTTATTAATGCTTCATTTGCATCAGTCGATTTGATATATTAGAAGTGCACAGATAATAGAAAGAAATATATGAGTTTATTCCTAGAATCCTAAACATGGGTAAAATTTACCCAAATCAACTTTCCAAGCATTACTGTTTTCAAAAACTTACGTTTTGCTTTTTTATTATAATTTCAACTTTATTATATTCATATGTCGCAAAAACATTAATAAATTTCTCGATGTTTCCTACGCTGATTTAAAATAAGTATTGAATTCTGACCATTTTCACAGAAATAAAAATACGCTGGATAAAATTTACCCAATTTAAGGTTGACTCTTTTTGATGTTTAGAATTCTAGAGTAAAATATGTGCGTACATATATGTACCTCGAATGTGTTACTATGAATGATGAACTTTTCACCGTTGTATTTTCCAAACAAGATGGTAAATAATTCTGTTTGTGTATAACGTCGGTATGCCAGCCTTTAATGACATAGTTTTTCATTCAAACTCTCGTTTCAGTTCAAGAAATGAGAAATAGCACGCCAATCTCAAGGAACATAAAAAGTATCGACTTTAATTTCAAATATCTTGAAGAGTCAATCTTGTTCTAATTGCCCGAGCCCAATGATATTTCAATTTGCACGCAGCGCAAGTTTCAATGAATTCCTAACGAGCTCAGTTTTCCGTGCAACCTCCTCGCATATGAAACCTGCTCCCATGGAGAGGAATGGACTCATGTAATTGTCCTTCGCGCGCAAAAATCGCTTGATCGATCGCAGAAGACTCCGGCTGGGCGGCTCGCGCGCCACAAATCACGACGCGAGTGCTTTCGATCGCTTGCAAAATGGAAGTCCTGTCGCCGCGTAAATCTCGCGCGCGCGTGTCGCGAGATAAATTGCGCCGACAAAGGCCGCGCAAAGTCGCGTCGCTAATTATGCGAGCGCGGTTGCATAATCGCGCGCGATAAATTCGCCTGCACACGCGGGGAATTTGCAGAAACGGGACTCACGCGCCGGGCATTATACCAGCGCCGCGATAATCGCAATGCATCGGCGTACAATACTATCCCGCGCGACTGTCGGTGACAAACATATTCATAAAATCGGAAAAAGATTGCCGATCCGACGCGTGAAACGGGATCGCGACGCGCGCGTTACTCCCGCGTGTACGAAAGTGCGCGCGTGATGAATGCAAATTAACCGGCGTGATATATGATCGTTAAACGCATACGAATTGCTCATTAGCCTCACGATTATCGCACGAGTCCGAGTGTGCACGTCGAATGCGCGGGCCTGCAAATCATAGGCCCGGCCGCGCGAGTGACGCGCGCACGAGCGCATAACCGTTCGGGGAATAATTTTATTAACTTTCCGCGGGTAGTTCATATGTACTACACTCGCTAGTCGAAAGCGGTCATTATCTAAAATGGCACATTTTGCGCGATCGGCATCAGAGTCGTAAAACTATCAATTAAATTTTTCTCCACTTAATAATCTATTTGAACCAGTGTGTTTCAATTCAGCTAATCGACGATTGATTCGAGCAAAATCGACTGGAGAATAAATTTAGTTGACGACTGATTTCGACGAATTCAACTAAAGGTCGTTCACTTGATGATATTTATTGAAAGCTGAGGGAATCAAAGATCGTTCAATAAACAATTGAATGCAACAAACTTAATTAAGATAGTTGTCTCATAAATCCATTTTTTAGAAATATTTTCAAATTTCAGTAGTACATTAATCGAAACACGATTAATACATTGCAATAATCTGACCATACCGAAACTGAGATGATTGACATCAAAATTGGTACTATTCACATTACAGGTACGAAAATGGCTGTCGATATCACGTTTTCAATTCTAACAACCGAATTACTTTTATGGTTTTGACAAAAAGACAAGAAGACCATGAAAGGATTGAAAATATTATAAAAAAATTACAAGTTTGTTGACCATCTAGCTTTCATAAAACTGACATGTAAAGTACACAATTACAGGTACACAATTACAATACACAAGTACAATTTGTAATAATAGTTAAAATATATGACTTATAATGATTTTGTGATACTTTACACGTTATATTTCCTTGATATCTTTATTTTTATCTTCTCAAGTATAGTTAAATAATTTTAAAGATCTACAAACAGCAAAAATGCGAAAAATATTCTCTTAAAGTGAATCAGTGAATAGTCACTGATATCAGTTATGAGTATAGCTCTCTGGTTTCCCTTCAAATCAGTTATGAGTATAGCACTTGAACACTTTCAGTGCTATACTTATAACTGTAAATCAGTGTATATTCACTGTTTTCAGATGTTTGACTGATTCATTTTCAAGAAAGTAGGATAAAATATAAGAAAAATCCAACGTCTCGATGAATTTTCTAGTAGTGTACCTTGTAGTAGTGTCTAGTAGTGCGTTTATCAGTACGTAGGATATGTTTACAGACACACATGCCCGACCTGGCAGTCTCAGCCAAAAGTATTAATACGTCCAAGCGCGATAAGCGGTTATTCTCTTGTGGATTTTGTACATCATGAAAGTTTGATTAATATTCTCTTGCTATAGTGTCAAAATTGTATATCATAAATCATATTTATATATTTATTATTATATATTAGCACGGATTTATACAGTTTCTTTCCTATTGAATTAATATTTCATTACTTAACATAATTTTCCAGCAATATTGTCGCGAAACAACTACTTCAAAGGTAGTTGACGATTAGTATAAGCAAATTCAAACGATTCAAGCGAGGAGCATTCGATTGCTCATTGTTACAATTGGTTTTATGGATAGCATTCATGCTTGAAGCATCGTGGCATTGTGAAAGATGCGCTAAGTAGGACTCGCATTGAAGGGAACAGAAGGAGGGAAGCACTGATTATATTAATTGTCATCAAACGATCTTTGATTGAATCGATCAATTGAACCGTCAATTAAACGACTTTTAATTGAATTTGCTAACTTCAATTATCAATTGAGCGATCTTAAATTTTCTTTCTTCATATCAATCGTCAATTGAAATGTCTTTGATTGAATTTGTTGAAATCAATTGTCAATTAAATGGTCTCCAGTTGCATTGGCTCGTATCAATCGTCAATGAAACACGACGATTAATTAGAAAAGCAGTTATTTAATTGCGACTAATTATGAATTAATTAATTGCAACTCTGATCAGTACCGGACTGCGCGCTCCGCTGATCGCGATCAACTTTACGACTTCAAGCAACGACACGAAAGCGCGTTTCGCTGATGATCCCCAGTTCGTATTTTACGATCTGTCCGGCGGCAAGTCTCCATTGAAGCCCGCAACAGGTCTAGGCGAGCCAATATTGACATTCCGCTCCGCGGATCTAATCATCTCTTTCTTATGAAACAGCTTAGGCCAGAGCGTATTGATGAAAGACTTCCACTTCCGTAAACAAGAAGACGCGCAAGGTCTGTCGAAGTTCTTACAATTTCTCTCTTCGCGCAGTGCAATAATTACACAACGAAGTGGCTCGAGGTGGACGAATTAATTGCTCGGATCGCGACAGCACGCACCGTTTACGAGAGCTTTCGCATACCCGCTGAAAATATCGCGCGGACATTTGACGTGTGTTTGTGTGTACGTGTGTGCGTATATGCGTGCGTGTGTGTATGTGCGTGAGTACAAGTATAGCTATAAGTGTAAATGCGCGTTTGCAAGTGTGTGTAAAAGCTCCCGGGTCGGGCAAATCGAGAAATTACTCGGTTCCGGGCGCGTGTGTTTTTTTTACCGGGTCGTTGTTTATTGAGCGCGTTACTTTATTGCAGTGAAAACACGGTGCGCCGCCGCGGGGGTAGATGGGAGCAGATTTGAGGGAATCTCCTCTTACGCAAGTCGCGGGGTACCGTTTATTTTCACGATTATCGAACCCCGCCGACTGGACTATTAATACGCGTTTGCAAAAGACCCAAGTCGCGAACGAGGAATAATTTCCGAGTCCGCGGGAAAGAGAAAGAGACAGAGAGAGAGAGAGAGAGAGAAAGAGAAAGAAAAAGAGAAACGAACGCGACACGCAAGTACGCGTAATCACGGCAAACGACGGGCTCGCGCATTCTTATTTTCTTCCCTCCCGCCGCGCGCGGCATCGTTAGCCGCTGCTTCAGCAATTATGTAGACTGTGATAATTGCCAAGAACGAAACCAGATGCCATTACCGCGCTGGCACCCGCTCGTCAAATTAGATGCAATCGGTAATTTTGTTTAACCGTCTGTGTCGTAACGTTTAGCGCCGCGTTTACACGTTATTACGAAATTCGCACAGCGAATTTTTAACGGCCGGCGTGGTCGTGCCGGCTTATTTGTATTTACGCGAGGTTCCGTTAACCACCGTCGTTCCATCTCGCCGCGTCACAGTCGCGATTTCAGTGGATTGAGATCGAGTTGCGGTGTAGTTACGCTCGCGCAAACGATCATGTATTCAGAAACTTTCCATTTTAGAAGTTGACACTCGGAAAAGCGACACGATTATCCTATATTGAAAGAAGGATTTCATAACAAGTGCAAAAATTTGGTAGTTTTTGCTAAATTATTTAGTAAAATAATGTGGACCAAATAACGATAATTAGAAAATAATTTAGTGATATAAAGTAAATGTGTAGTTCTCTCAGAATCAAGATTTAGTTGCTTGATCTATATATTTAGGTCAACAAACTAGATTCTGAAAGTTTAATACCAAATCTTAGAAGCAGAAAATAAGGTATTTGGTAACTATTATTAAAGCTTGTGCTCGAGATGAAAATTGTTTTAGATAATTTTTTTATTTTATTTAAAAAATCTCATCGTACTACTTAAATTATTTTAAAACATCTATGTTTTATTTTTTACATTGACACTTTTTATTACTTTATACGTACAGTTCTGTCCATAGTTTCATTCGAACTTGTAGCGACCAAACTATACAAACCCACTTCATTCGATGTTTTACTTTATTATTGAACAGAAATTGATGTCCTACGAGCTATGACAATATATTTTTGTACTCATGCTTATATTTTTCAAAGAATGTGGCAATGCCATATTTACCAGCAAATATTGAAAACAACTCAATAACAGTCGATATGCGACAAATATCAATAAGTGATATATATATATATATATATTAGTATAAGTACAGTTGATAGTCACCAAATATTTTGTTGCCTTAACAAAATAAATATTAATAGTTACCAAATATTTCGTCAAATAGAATCAAATAATTTCATAACATTTACCTAATATCTTCTAGTAGTCATCAAAGACTTGTTAACAGATATATAAATATTTGCTAGCTATTATTAAAATCTTTAGTTTACTTGATTGTAGTTAAAAGCCCTTTGTACATAAAATCTGCTATGTATATTTGGTTATTAGTATTATATTTTATTATTATTATATTAGGTTATTACTATTATATTATTAATTTAATGTGGATTTGGTTATTATTATTTTTGGTTATTATCATTATATTAGATACAGAATTTTTACTTAAATTTTGTAACTAAATACATTTAGTAATAATTAGTCTCATTTTTCAGTGGACGCATGAATCTGATAATGTTAATGTGGTTCAATTAACGATCGATATGAGCAAATTTAATTAGAAGTTATAGATTGTTCGGTGATGATTGATATGAACAAAACTATCCCTCTCCCTTCTCAACGTGGGTCCTATTTAGCACTTTTCAATCATCAGCATATTCCACAATATGAATACTCCGAATATGAATACTATTCACAAAACCAATTATAAGCATGAGTGATCGAACGCTTCTCGATTGAATCGATTGAACTTGCTCATATCAATTGCCAATTGAATAGTCTTTAAAGTAATTGTTCCATAAAACAATCTTTCTCGGAATCTTTTCAAACTTTAACAATATATTACACGAAATACGATCGATGTGTATATGCAATTAGAATAAGATCGATGACGTTGAAGATGAGATAATTGAAGCCAAATAACGCACTATTTATATATATCGCAGATACGAAAACGACTACCGATATTATGTTTTCAATTCTAACAACAAAAATATTGGTTTATTATTCTAGCATTCAAATTATTTTTACGGTTTGAACGAAAACTCAAGAAGACGATAAAAGAAACTTGTGGAACTATTATAAGAAGATTACAAGATCATCTAGTTTGATCATCTAGTTTTCAAAAAATTTATACGTGAAGTACACATAGTATTTATGATAACGGTGGAAGTATACGACAGCTAACTTGTAATACTTGATTTTGTAATACTCATCATGAGTTATATTTCCTTTGATGCCCCTTAATTAAGTATCTTCTTAAAGATAGGATAATTAAATAATCTTGAAGATCTATAATCGATATGCAAAAATGCGTAAAGTACAGTAAAATATGCAAAAACCCAACGTCACGATTATTTCTCCAGTAGCGTGCATTGGTATGTGTCTCTCGGTCTATAAAATATATTTACAAACATACCTAATGCGAGCAATTCTAGTAAAAAATATTAACGTGTCAAAGCACGAAAAATGATTATTTCTTTTCGGGTTTCTAAACATTATGCAAGTTTGATTAATATTACCTTGCTGTATACCAGAAATCATATTTATGAACGTTTAGCACAGATTGGTAGAGCTTCCTCGTGTTGTATTAATCATTTACTTAACGTAATTTCTAGCGGTATTGAAAGCGATCGTGAAACAACTACTTTAAGGTAATGGTAAGATATTAACCTTAAGGTCGAGATAACACGAAGAAACTCTATAAATCTGGTTAGCGTAACCAACATCATACTATTTCCCACGTGCAGGATACATTTCGGTTTGACAGAATTCATTTGTCGTCGTTGTGCATTTTCACTTGCAGCCGGGGTTAGGAAACGTCCAGCTTTTGTGCTCAATTAAAAAGAAGGATCACGCCCACGATCGCGGTCGTTGCAACCACTTGACTAACCTGTTGCATCGAGTCCCGACTGCACGTGCAACCGTTGACGGAGAACGAACACTAAGCAGAGACACGGCGGCCAAAATCAACTCACACATCGATCACAGCCGATACGCTCTGCCGTTCGCGAATCTGCCGGGCGAGCCGCGCTTCCATCGCGTCGCGGAGGCTCATTTCGGCCGTGCGACCGCACTTTAATTGCACAATTATCTCACGAGCGAGTACAGGAGGCTTGTCGATTTGCGAGCTGACGAATTTATCGCTCGGCCGATCGGTGTTCACCGGCTGACTGCTTCGCCGGTGCTCAATAAATAAAAAGAACGTTGTCGCACGCCTCTCGTCGCGTTGTGCCCGCGAATTGTATTCGTTCGCGCGGGACACGCGTCACACGCGCGTACGTATCCCGCGTTTCGCGATTCTGAAATGTCCCCGCGACTTTTTCGCCGTGCGCGCATACAAAAATTACACGTGCCCGAAGCGTAGCGAGAGGTGCATGCTGCGGCCCGGAGGAGAGACCGAGAGCCGAGTTCCTCTGTCAGAGGTGTCGTTTCGTACTGACGGCTCCCGTCGGTGGAGGACCGACTTTATACGTCCGCGTGGAGTCGCGGATCGAGCTTTGGGCGCCTCCGTCATGTGCGCGTCACCTGGCAGCGAAGTATGAAGACGTTATTTTAATAGCGACGTTAATCCATCTCTCAGCGTTCCAGAACACGAGGCCATAAGCAAGACGGCAGTCGCAAGTTCAAGGGGAATTAATAGGATGTTTTATTAAACTAGTCGCGCGCGATGAACTTGAAAAGAATGGCCTATGTAATTCTGTCAATTTTCGGAGATGAAAGGTTCTTTTTTGTAATAATGCACAGGCGGATGCTGTGGCACACAGCGAGATTTATAATTTGAATCGACATTTTCCACTAACGAAATAATCTTATTTCTAAAATAATCTCAATTATAATGTGCAAAAAATGCTCTTTAATTAAAGTATTTATTCACTTAAACCAAAACGCTTAAAATTATAGAAAAATTTTACGTTATTTAATTATATAATTTATTTAATTATATAATTTTACGTTATTTAATTATATAATTAATTATAAAATTAATACGTATTACGATAAAAATATTACGATAAATATTACAATAAGTTTTAAGCATTTTGGTTTAAGTAAATGTACTGCTTAATTAAAGTCAATTTTATAAATAAATGTTACATTAAATTTTTTATAATATATTATAAAATTTATTATATAAATAATATAAATTATATAAATAATTATATAATTAATTATATAATTATTTATATAATAAATTCTATAATAAATTATAGAGAAATTTAATATATCATTTATTCTACAAATATAATGACAATTTATAAAGGTGTCTTTAATTAAGGAATATTCATTTAAACCAAAATGCTTAAAATTTATCGTAATATTTATCGCAGCAAAGTACATTCACAGTGAAAGTTTCATGCAATTTGTTCTGCACCGTTCGTGAGAAATCTGATACTAAATATCGCCATTTTGCGTATATAACTTTATAGTAGAAGCAACACAGATGCCCATTATTCCAATATAACTTCGTAAAAAAAGATATTATTCAAATAAAAAATTTACTATTATGAATGTTTTATATTATGAAACATTTATTCATCATTTTGTAAATAATCGTAGACTTTTAATTATTTATAAAAAAAAAATTGTTACATAAGTGCGCGATATTGTACTAATTTTTTTAAATTAATATATAAAAATCTATGTGATTATTTGCAAAATGATAAAGGACTTTTGTTCAGTTTGACCTAATGTATAAGCATACAATGGCGCCACTACAGTTTATCTATCATATCGCGTAATCATTCATTAATCTTCTTTAATTAATATTTCGAGATTTCTTACAAATATCGCAAAATAGTGTAGTACTTTTATGTTCATCTCCATTCTACGCTCTCGTGAAGTTTGAAAATAATGATCTAGGACACCTTGTATAAAACTATTTTTTTTCTGCGGAAAGTTATTATAACTTGTTCATAAATTGTGAGGATTTTTTAACATTAGATAAATGGAAAAAAATATATTTTCCATTTATCTCATTTTTTATACTTATTAACGGCATATAACTTATGAAGATTATTCTACCGGAATACCAACTCAAAATCTCAAAATCGATATTATTAAATGAAACATATATGTGAATTTTGAATCGCCTCGTACAATACGTTCGCAAAGAGTGAAGTTTCAACGATGGATTAAAGTTTAACAGGTTCGCGCTTGAGGTAAACCGGAGAGAAATACGTGATATTATAGAATTATGCATTATGCGGCATTATAATTAGTTAAGTCAGCATAATGCAAATTTTCTCCCGGAATTCTGCTCCTCCTGAAGGGCAACAGCTGATCAGCGATGACGAAACCACGCACGAAAACATGACGATTCCAACAAAGGTGGAACCTGGTCGATCTCAGCACTAGTGGAGAGCAAAAGGAGAACATGCTGCATCGTGCAACCGGTCGTGAGTCAGATCTCGCTTATCTCGCTACTGCGAAACATCAATATCGACCAACTGTGATCGACCAGTTGTTCCTCCGCTCTTTCCTATACTATTGTTTAAAAAACAGTTCTATTTGAAGAACAGATTTAAAGTCTACTTGCTTATTTCGTACGAATATTTCCAAGCTGCACGGATTACCTGTTGAGATGTATCCATCTCTAATGTCCACTAATATTTATTAAGTCTTAATCTTAGCTTAAACTGCCTTCAGATTTAAGTCCAGTTTTTCAATAGCAGTTTAAACTTGGATTTAAGTTTAAACTCTACTCTAACAATGCGCTTGTTTTGTTTAAACAGAGTTTAAGTTGAAATCTCAATTTAAACTATCATTGAAAAATCGGCCCTTAAAGACTTAAACTCGGATTAAGATTTAATCGATGTTTAAGAATGTTGGTGGAATTGAGCCTAAATGGTTAAGTATAACATCAAATATCTTGCATTCAAGCACCAAATAAATAATAAAACTTACGAAACATCTAATATTATGATTTTAGAGGCTTTTGCGGTGTCCATGAATATTGGATTTAGTTTCTGGGTTTGAGCCGCGTGGATTCTTCTTTGTCTGATTCCGACGTTTCGCGAATATTTCAGCATCGGGTTGTTCCTCCCTGATAAAACGGACTGAAATGTTCGCGAAACGTCGGAATCAGACAAAGAAGAATCCACACGGGTCAAACCCGGAAACCAAATCTAATATCTAATATTATATTTTATTAGTATTTACTAAAACGCCAACACGATCTAATGTATTTTACGAAATAAAGTAGTTGTATGCAAGACTTTCATCTAGAAAATCATAATACTGTTCTGAAGCTTAATCTACAATCTTTGCTTTCTGTTTCTTGTTCTGTTTTTTTTCTGACTTAAAGCTTAAGGTGTGAGTTAGAAAGAGATAAAGAGGAAAAAAACAAGAAGAAAAAAAGTACATTGTAGATCAAGCTTTAAAGTTTGAGTTAAAAAGAGATAAAGAGAAAGAAACAGAAAGCAAAGAACATATTGTAGTTCAAGCTTTAGAAGCGCGCTTTCCAAAACGGAAGACTGAAGAACGCCGGAAAGTGATTTTCCAACCTCCACGCAACAATTTTCAACTGCTGAGGGAAGTCACGATCGATCGTGGAGACCTATCGCTCTTGACAATTTTAGGAGGAAGCGGTGACGGCAGCTGCTCTTAAACGCAGCTGATAATCGAAGCAGGATGACTTTCGTCGTCGGAGTAGTTTAACATCTCGTTCGTATAGCTTATACTGCGGGACAGCTTGTGATTAGCGGCCGCCCCGGTGGCGATCTAATACGTTTCCACGAGCAAATTATCGAGTGGCGCTACGCAGATAGAATTAGCCGTGTCGGTCTGGCTGATATCGCTAAATTGCCGCGTTCCTACGGGGCGTCCGGAGTGCATCTCGCTCGTTGTATCGTCGTCGTGCATCAGTTCCTCCGCTCCGCTCGCCGCGCGCTCGCGAGGTATATAAATATATCGAGTCATCATCTCCGATCGCGCAACGTCAAAGTATGAGAAATAATTTTCGCGCGACAAACAGACCACCTCCTTCCGCGGGGCGACAGCGGCGGCAAAGTGCGAATGGGACGTTTTTGAGCCGGGGCGAAAGCAGAGCTCGATATTTATAGTTGTACATTCCCTGGTAGAAATGTATGCAGTTTGCTTAGGTAGAGTAGACGCCCGCTTCAAGTGACTGCTTAGTGCTAATGCATTTATACTAATGGTGAAAAATACTGCGTGGGAACTGAACAAAAGAACTTGACAGAGTTTTATTCGTTTATTTTGTTAAAAGAGAGCGCTCTGAAAATTGCACGAACAACAATATGGAGAAAATGATACACCGATTATCCGATAAAAAATTAACAAGCGGATATTTCCAATTAAAATATCGGTAAATTTTTGTATCCGAGCAAGAAACATCCGATGAGAAATAATTTTTGGTTGGTTTATCTGATGAAATGTCGTTATGATCGAAAGTATCCGATTAAATTTAATCGGATATCCTAATCGGATATAAAAACTGATCAAAATTTGATTAGAAATATCCATTTGTTAATTTTTTATTGGATAATTTCTCTCAGTGTAGAGCAAAAGAGGTAAAAGAGGGATTAAAATCTTTCAATAAAGAAGCATGCACAAAGAATGAGATACTATTAGATCAAACCTGCATTTTACGAAGAGTAGATTTGATTATTAATCAATTGAATAGCTTCTCGTCGATTTCCTATTCTGTTTCGTTCAGTAAATGGGGTCTGTCCGATTTCGTTCAGTAAATGGGGTTCAACTTTTGCGTATCTTTTGTGGACAGTAATTGCGGCAAAAGCGTTACATCTGAATTGAGATTCTAAGTTTTACTCTTCAGTTATTAGACAAAAGTTAACATAACTATCTACAATATAACTGCTCGAAAACTGCATTAAATTTCTTCTAGTATAGATATTTCTTCCTACATTAGATCACTCCATCCATGACATTACGTTAAGAAATATTAATGACACATATCTTCCAAATATTCATATTTTGTATTAATTATTAAAATCCAGTTCAAAAACAATATTTAAATTTTAGAATAATAAATTAATTATAGTAAAAGTAAAGAGTATCACAATAAGAATTTAAACGTATCTAAATAAATGATAAAAATAAAAAATATCAATAAATAAATAAATAAATATATACATATATATATATATATATATATATATATATATATATATAAATCCTTGAAATATTTACAAAGATATTCAGATAGAAGTAACCAGAGGGAGAAGATCGATGCGAGTGATTTTATTACTAATAATAATGCTCACAACAAAATGTCCGTTTAAGTTGCGCGATTATAGCTATTACAGCACGTAATGACGACAATTAACGCGATTTAAATATTCATCGGTATTACGTCGTGCGCATTTAAATACCGCGCAATGTTTCGATGTAATACGATGATTATAACGTAGCAAGTGGAGCTAATTGCACGACTCGCTAGCTACCTGCTTT